CTGCCGTCCTGGAAGTCACTTGGAGGCTGGGGGGTGGACAGCATGACCTCAGCACGCTGCCACAGGGCTTCCCCTCCTCAGGGTCATGAATAAACAGAGCCCTCGGGACCAGAGAGGTCAGGGACGGAAGAGGTTTCAGAGAGAGCCTGCAGGTAGCGGGAGAGCAGAGGCCTCCAGCAGCCCCTTCACACGGAGACACCCCGCTCAAGTGACAGACGGCACCTGTCACTCACTTGAAAGGAGTGGAGAAGGGCAGGGGGGTAGTGATTTCCTGGCCCAGCAGCCTTTGTCACATGCCCGCCTGGGGCCTGAGGCTGGGCGTCTGGGCAGGGGGCGTGAGAGGTCCGGCAAGGGGGCGTCTGGGCAGGAAGCGCAGCCAGGCAGCGGGGAGAACGTTCTCCCGGAGGCTGGCCTGGAGCTCCGGGCAACTGGAGGCCTGCCACCCACCCCTCATGGCCCCGTGGCCCAGACAGACAACCAGGCTCCACAGGGGTCCCCACCTCGGCCTGGGCTGCGCCCCAGGACCCAGCGTCAGGCCAGGGTGCAGAGCCACAGATGCTCGCAGAGCCGCCGGTGGGCTGCACAACCGACCAGTGCAGTGGGCATCGTCCCCAGCTTACTGACGGGACCTCGGGGGCTCCCAGACATGCGCAGGTCGCCCGGCCCGTGACAGCAAAGCGAGGGTTTGTGCTGAGCTCTGTCTGACCCTGAGGCCGGGGCCTCCTCCTAAGTCATCAATACTTCTTGCCTGTGGCCGGCAGAGCATCCAGAACCAGAGGCCACAGCGTCTCCGCTCTGCTCCTGCTCCTGTGTCCACGGAAACCATCTTCCTCTTCTAAGCCCCAGCTTCCCTCCCTCTCTCCTGCTTCTGGGCAAGTCACATGCCCCCTTGGGCAGTGAGTCACTGCCAGTGGGTGGCCCCATCACAAGCCTGGGACGGGGTGTGAGGGGGGGAGCACTTTGGGGGGAGCACCCCTAGCCTCTGCGCACTCACTACAGCAGGGAGACGAGCCCAGAAAACCAGCGCAGAGAGGGGGAGCCCAGCCCTGTCACCGCCGGCTGCTCACACTCTCGGGTCTCACCTGGAAAACGAGGTCGCTGTAAAGGTCAGATGACTATTTTTGGACACTTATTCAACATCCTTTGCGTACCTACTACACGCCAGGCACTGTTCTAGGCCTGCGCTTCCCAACCAGGGGCGATCTTCCGCCAGAGGACATTTAGCAATGTCCGGACACACGTTGAATCGTCACCAGTAAAGGGGGCAGCCTGTGACATGCAGGACGGCCCCTCCGCAACTACCCGGATGTCAAGAGTGCTGAGAACGAGAAACTCCGCGCTAGGCTACGACTCTGGGGCATGGACAGGTCCCTGCCCTCACTGTGCGTGCGCCCTACGGGGAACACACAATAAACGGGGAAAAAATATATAGTGGGTCGTGAGTGTTATTTAGCAAAACACAGCAGGTCAGGGAGCTCGCGTACCTGGTGGGAGCTTTTATAGGCGGGGTGGTCAGAGAAGGCGCCGAAGGAAGCGAGGGGATAAGACCGGGAGGTGGTCGCGGGAGGAACACTCGAGGCAGAGGGAAGAGCCCGTGCAAAGGCCCTGAGGCAGGCGTGCGGGGGGCACGTGTGAGGAAGAGAAAAGCAGCCAGCATGGCGTTAAACAGCACTAGGTTGATGTGTGGAACACACATACACACCACACACACCCCACACACAGCTGGCATCAAACTCCTTCCTTCCCCTTCACCCCTGCCACTGTCCTGGCTGCTCCTCCGAAAAGCACTGGACGGTCAAGGCCATGAACTGTCTCCCAGACCTGGGAGGGACAGCAGTCCAGGAGCCGCTGGGCCAGGCCCCAGGACGAGAGCGAAGGCGGCCTCAGGCAGCAGAATGCAGACACCTTATCTGCTCCCACACCTCTCACACCCACGTGGTCCTGCGAGGAGGACCAGGTGGGAAGTAGGCTCAGTGACTTGGCCCAGGTGACAGGGCAGAGCCCAGGTCTGTGACCACTGACAGTGTGGCTCCTGGGAGGCTGGAGCTGGGGCATGGTCACCTCGGGGTCCCCAGCGCCCAGCACCCCCTCTGAAGCAGTGCCTGGCCACCAGGCCACCTCCTCATTAGCACACAGGCTCTCCTCAGGGCTGTCAGGGAGGGGGCAAAGGGACATCCCAGGACAGCAGCCACCCCGCGTCACCCATCTCCACTCCAATGGCCAGCACCTCCAAGCCAGCCTGGGAGCCCCCAGTCTCTCCCCGAGCCTGAGCTGCGTATTGAGGAGGCGAGCGGCAGCCCCTCCATTCAAGACATCCAGGGGCAGGTTCCCCAGACCCAGCAGGTGGAGATGCCCCGGCCCCTCCGCGCAACAACAAAAAGCCAGACGGCAGGGCCCTCTCCGTTCCCATCACAGGGCGCCCAGCGCTCACTGATCCCACCAGATGTACGCGCGCATTTGTCCAGTGAATGCATGACGAAATGAATGAGGCATCCAGTCCACTCCAGCCAACAAACACAGCTTCAAAGGAAGCCAAAGCCCTGAGGACACAGAGAGTCTGCCGTCCCTGCGGCCAGCTCAGGTCACCTCGGGCTCTTTCTGTAACTCAGTCTAGTGACAGGCACTGAGATTCCTCAGTACCCGCTGCTGCATGCGAGGGACCCGGCTGAGGGCAGGAACAGGGATGCGGACACGGGGTGGGGAGGGCGGGGGAAGGCTGGGGCAAAGAAAGGGCTTTGGAATCAGGCCGACCTGCATTCACATCCCACTCACCCCCAGGCTCTGCCATCCTGGGAAATGTCACAGCCTCTCTGGGCCTGTCCCTGCATCTCTCAATGGGAACAGCACCATCCGCCTTTCGGGACACGCTGAGAGGGAGGTGCTGGTGAGATTCTGCAGGACATTCCTAGCACAGTGCCCGGCTCCTCCTGGATGCTGGGAACACGGGAGCTGTCGAGTGGCAATAAAGAGGAGGACTGCACGGTCCCTGCCCGGAAGGAGCTTTCCGCTGGGCTGGCTAAGACACAGCCAGGCCAGAAAGCAGAATGGAAACTGCCCTCCAGAGGGGCACGGGCTCTGACAGGTCAAAGGGGAAATGATCAGATCCAACGGGAGAACGGAGGAGGGCTCTCCTGCAGGCAGTGGCGTTTGCAAAAGGCCCCGAAGGATGGGGCATCGGGTGTACCACGGGAAGGGCACAGCATGGGCTACCCTTGTTTCACGGGGCATAGAATACAAATGCGGAGAGGTGGCAGCAAGACCGTGGATACCTCACTCCCTCTGTCCTGGGACACCTGGGGGAGTTTCTGCCCCAGCCGCTGGGAGCCACATGAGGCTTCTCGGGCAGGGAGGGAGATGCCACAACTCGGGGAGGGTCACCCCAGCGACGCTAGCAGGGAGGGTCAGTGGGAGAGGGTACAGGGGCCAAGAGATCAGCCAGGAGGCGGTGGAGGTAAGTAATCTCAGGAGGAGGGAAGCCGAGACGCCTCGGGAGACGGTCAAGAGGGGAGGGAAGTGAGAGGCGCAAGGGAAACCCCTCCAACGACTCCAGCGCCCGGTGTCCCCTGGGCCACAGGGACGACCTGTGCCTCCTTCCGCCCCCAGGGGCTCACACGCCACGGGAGCAGGATGACACCCCTCCAGGCCCTGCGGTCAGGCTGGGGACCGCAGCCATCAGCATCCATGCTCAGCTCTCAGAGCTGGGACTGTCCTGGCTGGAAGCCACTCAGGGCCAGCGCTATTTCCAGGACAACCTGTGGGGCAGGCCCCCAGCATCCACCCTGGTGCCCGCCGTGTGCGAGTGGACTCTGGTCCAACAGCCTCCATCCTCTGCCCTCAAGAACTGGACTCTTTGAACCAATGTCACCCCAATAAATCCAATAAATAAATAAATAAACAAACCAAAAAAAGAACTGGATGTCAAAGATGTCTTTAGCCTTAGCCAGTGAGTCACCAAACATCAACACAGGAGCCAGTGCCACCACCTCCTCCTTCCTTCCAGTCTGAAGTCCAGACGGTTCCGCACATACCACAGCCCATCAGGGGAGGATGGTGAGGAGGGATGAAGGCCCACCCCCTCCCCAGCCATAGGGGGGAAAAGGAAGAGGTGATCCTTGGAAGGAAGAGCGCCCCCATGCCTTTCCATGAAACACAAGGAGGTTTCTGAATCTCTGTTTCCCCTCTCTGCAAAACGGGGCCCCTCTACCTTACCACACCATGGACACAGCCAGAAGGGGCAGACACGCACTTCTCCCACCTTGCTGGTGTGGCGCGGGCAGTGAGCATAACGCTCTGGAGTGTCTGCCCTCTCCGTGTTCCTGAAGCGCCGCAGGCACCGCGTCTGCCTTGCTAACCACCCAGCCGCCCTCTTTCGATTCCGCCGCTCCCAGAGCTCAGGTCAGCCCAGGAGAACCTGAGGACGCTTGTCTCCGCCCCAGGACACTGGAGCCCACAGAGGAGGGGCGGAAATGGCCGCTGGGCACACCAGGTGGCCCCTGGGGAAGGGGTCTGGCCATGGGCGACAGCCAGCCCACAGTCCGACTGTGCCCTTATTAGGCGTTCACTGTACACCTGGCAGCCCTCGTATTTCTAAGAAAGGAAAACCATAGCCCCGGGCGGGGCGGGGGGAGTCATCCGAAGAGGGTGCCCGGCATCCGCAGTGGGGGCAGCTCCCCTGCCCCCCGGGAAGGGAAGCTTGGCCGTGGCAGCCGCAGGGTAACGCAGCTGGGGTCTCTAAACGCCCTGTCCTGCACTGACCCGGCTGCGCCCCCAGTGCCCCCGCCTCGGGCATATGTGCCAAACTGAGGTCTCCAGCGGGTCTCCGGCGCCGCGCAGACCGTGTCTGACCCAGAAGAACACGCAGCTCCTCGGTCACCCCGAGCCCCGCACCCCTGTCTCGGCGCTCCGGAAGCGCAGCCGCAGCCGGGGGCTCCCCGGGGTGGGCGCCAGCCCGGGTGGGCATGAAGGGCGGACGCTCCCCGTGGGCCGCGCGAGGCACCCACCTGGGCGGGCACGGCGTGGCCCGCGTCCCAGAGCGGCAGTCCGACGGCCAGCAGGACCCAAAGGGCGGCAGGAGCCATGAGGACCGTGCGGCGGCAGAGCGCGGGAGGGATCCGGCCGGCTCTGGCCCTTGCTCGTCTCGCCTTCCCTCCGCTCCGCTGCGCTCCCGCGCCTCCAACTGAAAGCGAAAGACTGCGCGGCGGGGCAGAAGAAAGGCGGGGGACGGGGCGGGGCGGGGTGGGCGGGGCTAAAAGGTCCTCCTCCTCCTCCCCTGCCACTCGCCCCGTCCCCACCGCCCGCTGCCCAGCAGGCGTCCAGCTCCGTACTCTCACCCCACGCAGGGCCGAGCCTGGCCCACCTCTGCCAACCCGGAGCTTCATCGCTGCCTCCGGGGTCAGCCACTCCCAGCCCTCGGTGACCCTTCAACCTCCCTCTAATGCCCGCTCCCCGAACGTCCCCCTCCTAGGGTCCCGGGGCGGTAGACCCTCACTGGGGACGGACTCCCACCAGGTTCGTGGCTGCCCTGAGGCTGTGCCTCTCGACCTGTTCTCAGACCACTTACGCCGCCCTCCACCGAAGGCTCCCCACACGTGGGGGGCGTTGCGCTAATTCGGAAAAACATCCCACCCAGCTGACACGAGCTTTAGGGGGACCACGGCGGCTCTGCATCATCCACTCATTTGGACTCTAGAGTCGGACCACCTGGGCCTGAATCTCTGCACTAACTTCGTGGAGTTATTGTGAAAACTAAAAGATACACATGATATAGTACCATATACCTCATATATGTAGGTATACTTACAAAGTACAGATGTCGTTTATTAATACTCTCTGTATAAGTATTAGATGTTACTGCAATTATTCATGTTTTCATCTGTCCTTACATATCCTTCACGCCCTTTCAGGGAGCCAGACCTTGCACTGCCTTCCTACCTGAGTCCCCAGTCCAGGTGGCTGACCAGTGAAAAGAGGCTGCGACCGAAGCCTTCCAAGGAGTAGTGGGGGCCCCCAGGGGGGCTGACTCAGGCCACTAGAGCTGCCTTCCCTGGAGTTTTCAACATGACCAAGCACCCACACTAGTGCCACCCGCACCCCCTTCACTTCAAGTGCCATTTCTTTTTTTTTTTTAAGACTTTATTTTTAGAGAGAGGGGAAGGAAAGGAGACAGGGAGAAAAATATCAATGTGTGGTTGCTTCTCGCACGCCCCCTACTGGGGACCTGGCCTACAACCCAGGCACGTGCCCTGACTGGGAATCGAACTGGAGACCCTTTGGTTTGCAGGCCAGCACTCCAGCCACTGAGCCACACCAGCCAGAGCTCAAGCGCCATTTCTGATGCCAAAGCCAGCCCTGTGTGACCAGAACATAGTCCCCCCCCCAAGCCCTGAGAGTCCCTGTCCCCAGCACACAGGACATTTCCTGCGTGCTGTGAGGGATGGGCAGAGTGGCAGGAGGTGACCCTGTTTCCTTGTTCCCTCACCCCTGAGGGGCAGGGACGCCTGCTCTGGGCCACCAGCTCCTGTGATGGGGACGGCAGTGACGGTGCTTCTAGGCGCTGGGTGAGAAACTGGGAAGTGACGCTTGGCAGATGGAAAATCCCAGCTCCTGACCAGGAGGCTTGGAAATCACCTGGTTCCCACACAGCCATGCGAGACGGGCCTCGCTGAGGGTGTGGTCAGCACAGCCCACAGCCCTAACGTCTCAGCACCAGCCCTGGAAGCTCACAGGACGACTTCTCCTGGCCCTTACAAGTCTCACCTGGGTGGAGTCGGGAGGACTCCCTGATTCATAGGAGAGGGCCAAAGGCCAGGAGTGGGGTGTCACCTGGCGGAAGCAGGGGCAGATGGCCCTCCACAGATGTCCCGTCCACACCTCAGACCCAGCGGGTCCCACTGGCTGGTCCCCACTGTGGCAGCTCGGCTCACTCCCTGTGTGCCCCGCCCCGCCCAGCTCTGGTCCTCAGACCCTGCTAGCCAGAGGCTCTAACGCTTGTCACAGACCTTTATGGGGCGCCTGCTGTGTGCCAGCCCTGGGGTGCTAGGCACTCAGCGATGCACGAGAACCGCCCATCAGTCTCGTGGTCCCTAAACTCCCGTGATTATCAAGTTCCGGAGTGGTCCCTGGGAGCTCCTCTGGCTTGGCCCCGGGAAAGGGAAGCATCCCACCTCCTTTCCCAAGACGGCGCTCAGCATGATGGCAACTCCTTCCCCAAAATCCTTCCCTTGGGTTTTCCAAACCCGACATCTTGTTCAGGCTCGGGGTGGGGTGAGGATGACAAATTCTGCGTGAACCATCTGACGCTGAGTTTCTTAGCGTGACCTACATAGGTGGCCCAGGACTCTCCCTTCAAGATGGGGTTCGAGCCCTGGCTGGTATAGCCCAGTGGATTGAGTGTGGGCCTGAGAACCACAAGGTCACCGGCTCGATTCCCAGTCAGGGCACATGCCTGGGTTGCAGGCCGTGGCCCCAGTGGGGGGCACACAACAGGCAACCACACATTGATGTTTCTTTCCCTTTTATTCTCTTTCCCTTCCCCTCTCTCTACAATTAAATACATAAAACCTTAAAAAGAGAGAGAGATGGGGTTTGACCTTGGCACCCACGGTGTTATACCTATCCTTAAGGAATCTGGTGAAACTCAGCGATGGCACAGGGAGTCCCTGTGACACGCTGCCCCTCCCCGCCTGCCTCACAGCCCAGTCCTGGCTTTGACCTTGGCCATTTCTCACTTGCAATGCTCCGGTGGCCTCCCAACGGGTCCTCCGGCCTTCAGGCTCCGTCATTCTAACCTGAGCTTCCTGCCGTGGCCAGGGCCAGCTCTCAAAGGCATCAGGTGGTCATGATGTCCCACAGTTCCCAACTGAGGGAAGAGTTTGCCCCCTGTCCCAAGGGACATTTGGAGATGTCCTCAGGCGTTTTGGGGGCAAGGACAGATGCTACGGGCATCTGGTGCGTAGAGATGAGGGATGCGGCTAAAGATCCTGCAATGCACAGGACCGCTCCCCAAACAAACTACCCAGCCCCAAATTTTGCCGAGGGATGTGGAGAAAGCACGCCCCAGCACGTGGCTCACCGCGGCCTTCAGGACGGAGCTCAGCCTCTTCAGTGCAACAGCGAAGGCCTGCTGGGCAGGTCTCCCTCCACCCCTCCCTCTCACCGCCCTACGGAACCCCAAGTTCCCGCCTCAGTTCCTCGTTCCCCGGGGTTCCTGCGCCTGGGATGTCTTTCCCTCCTGTTTTCTTGGTGATCGCCTCCTTCAGATCGAAGCCACATTCTCTCCGCTGCGGGCTGGGACTCCAACAGACGATCAGCCCAGCGCTGACCTCCGTCTGGTTAGCCGCTCACACGTCCCCCTCCCGTCTTAGCAATTAGGGGACGAGCAGTCAGGAGACTTGCAGGAGCTGTGCTGGGCGAGAGCAGGGTCCAGCTTTATGGTGAGCTTACACGGCTGGGAGCAGGCATAGCGACTCACACCGAGTCTGGCTGCTCGCAAAGCCGCGGACCAGCTGCCTCGCACGCTGCTGGACCACGCGGTCCTCGAGGCAGCGGGACTCAGTCACGGCCCCCCGTTTCCCTGGTGACGGGTGATACGCAGGGAGGGCCCAACCAAGTTGCAGTGCATGAGGACTCGGTGCAGCTCTGGTGTGTGCGGGAGGTAGTACAGGGGGGATGAGTGAATGAGTGAGTGTGAATGAATGAATGAATGAATGAACAAACGGGTGAGTGAGTGAGTGTATGAGTGGACGTCAGGGTCAAGGCCAGGCCCCACGCACTCCACCTCCTCTCTCAGACCGTGCATGTGTTCCATCCCAGCCCCACAGGGCAGGAAACGCCCACTTGCTCCCCGGTCATGGATAACGAGCAGGCTCCTAGCAGGCAGGACCATGGCCCCCCGGTCCCCAACTCGGGGGGATGCACGCACAGTACCTGTAACTTTGGCCTGGACTCCCCTATACCTTTCCTCACTTCCCGGTGTAGCCCCTGGCCCTCCGGGAGCCCCCCACCATCTCCCACACACATGCAGCTGATGACTGTGCTTTGCAAACAGGTGCAGGCGGGGGCTCAGCAGCAGCAGCAGGCGTCGTGCATAAGAGTAGCCAATGTGTCCACCAATATCTATGAACACCTACGAGCTCCAGGCGTTCCAGCGGACTCGACAGCGGATGGCTCTCCAGCTTCGGCCAGCGTCAGGGTCATCTAAAAGGCTTCCGACACGTGCAGTTTCCTGGCCCCCTCCCACGCCTGAGGTTCCGGCTCTGTCGTGAGCCGCGGCTGACTGACAGACAGACGCCTTCTGGGAAACCTTGCAGGGAGGATTTGGCTGCAGTAGGTGCTGTGGCTGAGGGCGGTTGTGGAGGCAGAGCTGTGGCCGTGTGGTGTGCTGGCATCGGCAGTTTACACGGCAGGGGTGCGGTCTCACAATCAGCCACAAAGCCAGCTCCTTCCAGCCTGGTCTCCGGAGGCCCAGGGGCATCCTGCCCTGCAGGCCAGCAGGACCCCCGCCCCTTCCCCTCTTGGCGCACAGTGGGGGCAAGCAGCCTTCTCCCTCACCCCCTGTCCTGCTTGTCTCTGTGCTCTGCCCCAGCCCCTCGATGATTCATGTCCTAAAATCACGAACAGGAAGGAACACTGGGGGTTAGACACAGCCCTGCAACTAACTGCCTCCCCCTGTCCCTCCCTCCTGCCCTCCCACCTTCTTCCCCAGGGCCACGTCTTGGGCTGAGCTGACCACACCAAGCTGGGGCTGGGGGCGCTGGACTGAGAAAGATTCACTGGCTCCGTCTGGATTTCCTTCCAAAGGGGGGGGGAGTGTAGCTTCCCCCTCCCCACCCTCAAAGAAGACCCCAGGCAACTTGGGGGAGGGAGCCAAGAGCACCTCCAAGCCTCCTTGTCCCCCTAGTCCCCCAAAATCTCCCTGTTCTGTGTTGCCTCTTCCAAGGAACCACCCCCAATCAGGCCCATACCTTCTGGAGAAGACCCCCCAGTTTCTAAGCCCGGCACATGGGCCACTAAGCCTCAGGGGAGTCCCCATTCCAGCCTGTGTGACCTCGGGCCGGCGTCCTCACCTCTGACACGAAGGGGCTGCGTTAGGTCAGGCCATACAGGCTGATTTCGTCCTAAACGCCAACCCCACCTGTGGACGGCTGCCTCGGGCCCCGTGCTGACGGAGATTCG